AAAATCGTCCAAAGTTGATTTCAAAACTTTTCAACAATTTTTCGCTAATATCTCGAAAACTAAACCTTTCCGCAAAATTTGTACATGAACAAAATTGTTCAGAATCATGTCCGTGATAAGATATTAAAAGCGCACTAAAATCAAGAAAAGTTTATTTCAAAAGTTGCCGGTTTTTTTGCAATAACAATACTTTGCAATTAAAAAATGAAAAATTTTTTGATAATGGTACCAATGGGGAGTCAGAACCTACCAAATGCAAAAGGTTTCGTTCCGATCGGTTCATCCAGCTAGGCGTAATCGGCGGGCACACATAGAAAAAAAAATATACTGATCGAATTGAGTAACCTCCTCCTTTTTCGAAGTCGGTTAAAAATATGTCGAAATCCCCTCCCCCGTAACTTTGCACAACTATTTCGCGTCTCTATGTTTTACTAATATCGCCCCTAATCTTCTACTCCAGTCTCTATTTCCCCGAACGCTCTATTTCTCTTTCCTCTCTCCTGCCGATCCCGCTCGGTCTCCATTGTCGCCCCCTAATGGTGCCATAACCACACTGACGACTGAGTTCTTTGCTGAATCGACAATTGATGAGAAGGGTGGTTGACACAGTTTGACTTTTTTCCCTCCTCTGCCCTGCTCCATCGGTCTCCGTTTTGTGCCCCCTAATGGTACTATGACCAGGCTAACACCGGTTTCCTTCTTTGCAGGTTTGAGTCGGTCGATCAGTCGTGTCTATGTTTCTGCGCCTCTTCCACTCCTACTCTTCTTCTTCTCCCCCTCGTTGTCTTCTCGCTTCCTCCCCTCCTCTTGCCGTTTGAAGAGCGCGCCATGTCTCCACCATCTTGCTTGCTGCCACATCCCTTCGCTTCACCCTTTAGAACCGCTCTCCAAGCGCTTGCAGCGTTCCTTCCTCCGCCATGCTGGACATCCTCGAACCGGCACCTTTGCTCCACCATCGATATGATTTTTGGGATTTCCAGGGTGCTGGAGCACTTTCCACTGTTCTTCCGACGCTTTTCCGCCATTTTCCCGCTTTGCACTGCTTCCTCTGCAGTCGCGCACGTGATCACGTGTATTTCCCTGTACCCACGACACTCACAGCACTTCACTGCACTTCCATAACACTTTCCCAAAACTACACCGAATTAATTGACTATCTGTTAATTATTCATTATTTATTATTTATTTATTAATCTATTAATCAATCACTTCACTATTAATTAATTAATTAATTAATTAGTTATTTATTTATTAATTAATTAATATTTAATATTTATTAATCTATTAGTCCATCTAGTTCACTTTATTTATTTATAAATTAAATCCTTCCTTTTACTTCGTTCCGTGTCGCCTCGCCTCTTCCTCTTCTCCTCCTCACTGTCTTCTTGCTTCAACCTCTCCGCTTGCCATTTTAAAAGCGCGCCATGTCTCCGCCATCTTGCTTGTTGCCGCGTGTCTCCGTTTCACCCTTAAGCTTCGTCCTTAGGGGCCGCTCTCCATACGCTTGCGGCGACTCTTCCTTCGCCATGTTGGATATTTGCGAACTGACCTTTTCGCGCTACGTTTTCCCTCGCGCGGAGATGCCCACGTGTTCGTTCGATACATCGAAGTTTACTCGATCGATTTATTTACCGTCAAATCACGGAAAAAAAATTATTTAATTTATTTAATTCTGCGACTTTCTCTCTCAACTTCGACATATCGCACGACCACGTGTTCACGCAAGTCCTTCTTCGAGGGCACATTCCGCGGTCGACCCGAACACTCGTGTCCTTGCTTTCGACTTCTGATGGGTTTGCACCCCATGCTTTTCCTCGCGTCACGTGGAGGTCGCCATTACCGAAATTTCGTTTTTTATTTATATTCTACTTCCGATTTTCACAAAACTTTCACCGCTCACTTCCCCCGCTGTTTCCCCTCACTTCACAACACTATCTACCACACTTTTACCACTTTGTGCCACCAAAATTGGATTTTAACGCGGAGCGACCCCCGAACACGTGCGCTTGCCACGACAGCCAGCCGTTCTTTTCCATATTGCCGTCGTCATCTGCAAGTGTGGAATAAGCTCCACGTCAAGACGATTCGAACGTTGAACCAAATAGACAAAGTCTTCATGCCGCTCGAGGCCGAAGACGCTCTGCGGTCCGTAATGCCATCACTGTTTCTCCATCCTCACGCCGCATCACAAGAGCTTCCACTGAAATCGCTGCTGCTTCCAGCAATCGCTGCTGCTTCCGCTCAGCAAGCTTCGCTTAATAATCCATCAACGAGTTCCACATTACTACGTGCTCCGAATTATCCTACTCCGCAGCCGTCAACTTCTCGCGCTTCATCAACAGCCCGTCAACGAATTACTTGTAACAAAACAGTGCCGACTAATGCACGTTCTGTCGGTCGCCGACCCACTTATAGCGATATAGGACCGGAAGGCGAGGTTTTACCTTATACTATTGTAGATGGGGATGTTTTGGACCGCAATGGTTACGTCCCACAGAAGAAGATGAACAAGGCAGACGCACACCTGTCGGAATTAACGAACGTCGCCGCCGACTACAACGTGAAAAGAAATATCGAATAAAAGAGCGCCAAGAAATCGCACGACGTACCGGAACAGCTATGGCCACAAAATTATCGACGGAAGTCTGTTATTACAACCTTGGCCCAATGAGTGCCATTTGTAATCATTGCTCTGCGAAACATTTCGAATCCGAGCGCACAGAGGCCGGACATTTCTCTTCTTGCTGTTCAAATGGAAAAGTTTCATTTAATCTTCGACCAATCCATCCGTATCTCCATGAAGTTTTCACAAACCCAGCGCACCGCGATTTTAAATACTTTCAAGAGAATAGTCGCTACCTCAACTCCGTTTTTGGCTTTTGCACTCTCGGCTTAACAATAGATAACCCTCCGTCTGGCGCTTATTATTTAATTGCAAAGGGCGAAATTTTTCATCGAATTGGCCAATTACATCAAGAAGTCATTCCAGATAACAGAGCAACGATGCCATATGCTTCGGCCTATTTTTGTGATGTACAAACTGCAACAAAACTGCGTTACGAGTCCACGAAATTGGACTGTCGCATATTACGAAAAATTCATACCATCGTTTAATTAATACAATCATTCAAGAAAACTCCGCCCTTGCACAACAATACTTACACGCCTACGAAAAAGAGCAGGAGATGATTCGTACCAATCATCCACGGCCTACAGTGCATATTCAGCTGTTACCGGGACCTGCTGGCGCCGGGATTCACGTTGGACGTACCAATTTACCCACTACACGAGCTAATATTGCTGTTTTATATTATGAACATGATGGTCTGCCACGAAAGCAACATCAATTGATTATTCAGAATCGTGTAAGTCCGAATACCGAATCCTTACAAATTATTAAAATTACTAATCCATTACTTGACGCAATGCTATACCCTCTGCTTGACCCATATTCCGTAATTGGATGGTATCCCGGAATTCGCCATGCGATTGAAACAGATAGTAGAAAGTATATTAGTATTCGCGAGCATGTCGCTTACCAAATGGCCGTTCGCGGTGACAAATTTACACTTGCAGGATACTGGAAAGTTATTCCTACATTGGTTGGTCAATGGCAAAACATTTCGAATCAGAGCGCACAGAGGCCGGACACTTCTCTTCTTGCTGCTCAAATGGAAAAGTTTCTTTTAATCTTCGACCGATCCATCCTTATCTTCATGACGTTTTCACAAACCCGGCACACCGCGATTTCAAATACTTTCAAGACAATAGTCGCTACCTCAACTCCGTTTTCGGCTTTTGCACTCTCGGCTTATCAATTGACAACCCACCCTCTGGCGCTTATTATTTAATTGGAAAGGGCGAAATGTTTCATCGCATTGGACCGCTACATCAAGAACACATTCCACATAACAGACCAACGATGCCATATGCTTCGGCGTACTTCTGTGATGTCCAAACCGCAACAACACTGCGTTACGAGGCCACGAAATTGGACTCTCGCATATTACGAGAAATTAATACAATCATTCAAGAAAACTCCGCCCTTGCACAACAATACTTACACGCCTACGAAAAAGAGCAGGAGATGATTCGTACCAATCATCCACGCCCCACAGTACATATTCAGCTGTTACCAGGACCTGCTGGCGCCGGGATTCACGTCGGACGTACCAATTTGCCCACTACGCGATCTGATATTGCCGTTTTATACGATGAACACGATGGTCTGCCACGACAGCAACACCAAATGATTATTCAAAATCGTGCACGTCCAAATACCGAGTCCCTCCAAATTATTAAAATAACAAATCCATTACTTGATGCGATGCTGTACCCTCTACTGGACCCATATTCCGTAATTGGATGGTATCCAGGAATTCGCCATGCGATTCAAACAGGCAGTAGAAATTATGTTAGTATTCGTGAGCATGCCGCTTACCAAATGGCCGTTCGTGATGACAACGAATACTTGCAGGATACTGGCAAGTTATTCTTACAGTGGTTGGTCGACAAAGCCCTTAGAGTTCAAGAGGACAAGTTGCAATGGCTACACGACAACCAGAACGTCCTTCGCCGCGACACACTACAAAACATCGGCGACTTTAACACCAATGCCAACAGGAATGTTAGGCCAAACACAGACACAATCAATCCTCAAACAAGTGTCCAAATATTGTTGCCGTCCACCTTCATCGGCAGTCCCCGACATTCGATTAACACACTGCAGGATATGTTGGCTCTCTCTATGCAACTCGGTGCAGCAACATTTTTCGTTACCGTCACAGCCAATCCTGCTTGGCCCGAAATCACTGAAAATTTAAATCCGGGAAATAGACGCGACTTGCGACCCGACATCGGCAACAGAGTGTTTCATTCAAAACAAAAACGGTTTAAGGACTTGATTACCAAAGAAAACTTCTTCGGAACCATACGCTACTATGGTTACACCGTCGAAATGCAAAAACGCCAAATACCGCATTCCCATTGGATAATAGCTGTTGAGCCACCATACAATTCGCGAGATCCGGAATACATCGATACTATCATCTCCGCCGAAATACCGGACCCACAGGTAGATCCTGAATTATACAACATAATATGCACTAATTATCTGCATCTCTGTACGGAAATTTGCTTGCCTGAGGGCAGTTCAACCTGCAAAAAGAAGTTCCCCAAGGCCTTCCAAGAACATACAGTGCTACAAGCAAACGGCTATCCCCTTTACCGTCGCCGGGACAACGGACAATACGTCACAAAAAGACGCGGGCACATAGACGTTCGGTTGGACAACCGTTATGTTGTACCATATAATCCTTACCTGGCAAAGATGTTTGGCTGCCATATTAATGTGGAGCACCTTTCGGGCATTCGCGGAATAAAATATATATTTAACTACATAAATAAGGGACACGACGTGGCACACATTGCCCAAATCATTCGATCAGAGACCGGGGATGAAATCAAAAGGTACCGTACAGTACGATACATGGGTTCGTCGGAGGCTCATTGGCATCTCATGACATATTAATGTACGGTCTTTCGCACAATGTAGAGCGGCTTACGGTGCACACGAAAGACGACCGTACTGTGTACTTCACTGACGGTCAAGCAGGTGTCGCGGCCGAGACAGCAGCAAACCGCGATAGTCAACTAACAGCATTTTTCAAATTAAATACAATAAATCCCATAGCTAGAAATTATCTGTACCGTGACATTCCACAACATTTTGTTTGGAATAAAAATAGAAAAACCTGGACCGAAAGTATTCATAAAACAAATAGAATTGGACGCATTTTTCAAGTGCCACCGAATAATCTTGAATTAGTTGCTACCCGTCTTTTGCTGCACCATGTTAAGGGCCCACGTTCCTGGGACGAGCTTTTCACGTACGAAGGTAGAGTGTACGCTTCCGCTATAGAAACTTGCCATGCCCGTTGTTTGATTAATAGCGGTACAGTATTCGAGGAGACACTTCATGAAGCCGCAGAATGCCAGCATTCACGGGCTTTTCGCATCCTATTCGGACAACTGCTCGCTATTACCCGTCCACCAAATGGCTGTGCAATGTGAGAACAACATAAGAACGACCTCACACACGATCTAATACGCGTTTACGGCAACAATGAGGCACTTCGTTTCGCACATGGTCTCCGTCATATAAGATCAATCGCTGAGGGCAATATGGAGACACTTGGATTTCCCGCAACCGCCAGCCCCCGTTTGCGGCCAATTAGTTTAATTCGGTGAATATATTCTACCGAACGAGAATTACCGGGGTCAACTAAATCAAGGACAACAACATGCGTTTAATATAATCATTCGAACTCTAGAACCATTGTACACAGGTCCAACATGTTTTTTCCTGGATGGCCTAGGCGGGACAGGCAAAACGTTTTTATATAAGGCACTCATTCAGTATTTTAAGAGTAACGGTCACGTTGTCGTTGCATCAGCTTGGACCGGAGTCGCGGCCCTTCTCTTGCCAGGTGGCCGAACATCTCATTTCTTTTTTAAATTCCCTATTCCCCTCCTGGAAGAGTCAAATTGTAATTTCAGCCGTGCCAGCGTCCAAGGCCGACGTTTGATTGACGCAGAATTGATAATAATGGACGAAGCGTCAATGTGTGAAAGACGGGCGCTTGCGGCACTGGACCATGCATTGAAAGACTTAACTGGCGTCCATCATCGACCGTTCGGTGGAAAAACGATGTTACTTGGCGGGGACTTCAGGCAATACGCACCAGTCATTCCGCATTCTCATGCAGGCTCAAATATTGCAGAGTCCATTAAAAGTAGTAATCTTTGGCCGGAATTTCATCTTCTTCGTCTCACGCAGAACCTACGAGTGGAACCAGGAGAATCAGATTTTGCCAACTACCTTCTCCGTATAGGAGATGGATCCGCCAACGTTGCCGACACTGACATAACCAGCATTCCTGACAATATACTATTTCATGGTTCAATTCAAGATCTTATCAACTGGGTATATGAAAGCAACCTTGCCGAACCGAACCCTGACAACGCATTACTGTGCCCCCGCAACGACCACTGTGATTATATAAACAATCTAATCCTCGACAGACTTGAAGGTCAGCAACGCATTTACTTCTCCGAAGATCAGCTTATAGATCCATCCGCCGCATCAATTGCTGACTACCCACATGAACTCCTCAACCACGTCGAAGTTGCTGGCTTGCCTCCGCATGAGATTCGCCTCCGTGTGGGCGCCATCGTGATGCTCATACGAAATATGTCTCTTATAGATGGATTGGTAAACGGGACAAGACCACGTATCACGTCTCTCGGAAACCAGATTTTCAGAGCAACGATAATTATTGGCACCAATATTGGACAAGACGTTATAATACCACGAATAAAATTAATACCCAGCAACAGTACCTTGGGGGTGGATTTTAGCCGAAAGCAATTTCCGGTAAAGCTCGCATTTGCCATGACCATTAATAAATCACAAGGACAGACACTTAAACGTGTGGGCATATACCTTAGAGATCCAGACCACGGACAATTGTAGGTAGGAATGAGCCGTGTAACATCACGCTCCAACTTACGAATCCTAATAGGCCACCAACACTTTTCAACACATCCGGATCCGTCCTACACAAAAAATATTGTGTACTGGCAATTACTAAACTAAATATAATAAGATAGAAGCATACTATAATAGGAAATAAGAAATAAGATACAAGTATAAGACATAATCAGTATAAGAAATAGTACTTTTGCGATAATTTTATATGCTTAGCGTAATTTTAAGAAGATAAACTATTAGCTTATATTTGTAATAACAAACAATGTACGTGTATGTACATTGTATCTTAAGTTGTGGTCGTTTTGAAAATTTTTTGAGATTTTGAAAAAAAATTCCCCCCTCCCCTCCTGATATTCAAAAATTTTTTTTCAAAAATTAATCTACACGTCGAGCCGGTTCCAACGACACCAAGAACACGTTCGTAGCCCCAGGAATAACGCATAACGCGGCTATAAGGCGGCAAACATTGAAATGGCTACAGCTGTTTCAAAAAAGGTGTCCGTGAAAAACGGCGAACAGGGTTTTAAACGGTGTCGGAAATACAATCTTTCGAAAAAAAAAAAAATCTGACTTTCCTATAAAGTTCTTAAAGATTTTGAAAAAAATTTTTTACCACCACCACTTTTTCAAAATTTCATAATTTTGAGTATATCTACAGGCCGAGTCCTATCCAACGGTACCTCGCACGTGGCGGTACCTACGGCGATAGCGTGGGAATAGTGGCTACAATAATTTGGTTACCTTAAGCGAGTCATGGTGATATATTCTGTATCACAGACATCACAACGATTTTCGTTTGGTCATATTTAATAAAAGAACAATGCTACACCCGGGTCGCCTGAACGTGCCAACTGTCTTTTTTTTTTTTTTT